AACTTATTGTATTCCAATAAATACAGTTATTGGAAAACCATGTCCATCTCCAATATCTATAAGCAGCTTTTATTATTGGAAGTAGCTTAAAAGTAACTTACTTTCTCTCTTACACACACACACATTTTACGCAGCAAGGACTAGGAAGGTACTAGTAGTCTTGAACTCGAGTTGCAAAGTCGACTATGGCATAAAATACTTTTCGTTGTTTGTCTGCTAAAAGGAACAGTGGATCGTTAACATCTTGTATAAATTTTACTCTTGGTGGACCCTTAAGTGATTACTACCCTGAGAACAAGTTCCTAACCATAGTAAGAATACAGAGGGTTGAATATGTGATATTAAAAGATATTTTGAATATACATATCAGCAAGTTACGTGACAACCACATCCCGTAAAAAGTCGCGATGAAACGCATTGTATTAGAACTAAATTGAACATTGTTTCGCCTTTGTAGATAGTGGGCTGTAACCGAAAATTGATCGCTTTTGGGATGAGCATGTAACAGCCCTTTCCTATATAAAAATATTCGGACACCTCAAATCATAAAGATGTGTTCAGATCGGGGACTTAGCATTTACAAGATGGAAAACACTCCACAAAACAAAGGAAACCTAATCACTTGTAATATTCCATAAACAGAAAATATTAGCATACGTCTATCAGAAAAATGGAAAATACTAGCTCATAAATATAATTTTAACATAATGTCTAGATTCATTTTCACGTCTAGAAAAGAAAATTAAACACATGTTAAGAAAATTATTTAACCCACCCCACCAGAAGACATTTACAAAATAAAGTGTAGCAATTGTCCAGCCTTTCACATAGGTGAAACAGGACGTAACTTAAACATCAGGTTAAAAGAACATCAAAAATCCCCTTCCCAAGTCTATGAGCATATAAACAAAAACAACTACAGTTTTTTTTTCTGAACAGAATGTCACAGTATTAAAACATGAACCTGACATTAACAGAAGAAAAATCAGAGAAGCCTTACTAATAGTCAAACAATCCCACAATTAACAAATACCCAGGCACATCTCAGAGAAGCCTTACTAATAGTCAAACAATCCCACAATTAACAAATACCCAGACACATCTCTATATGTTTTTGATCGTTATTTCCCTAGACATTCCCAATCTTATGCAAATATTTCGCATATCATATTCCACATTTTGTTATACTTATTCATTTTTTTTGCATATTTTTGATGTATATATACATAAGTAACCCCTATCAATTCTAAAATTTCAATACATTGTTGGATTGTTGAATGTCGAATTAAATACAAAAACCTTCTTTATCGTCAAACTTGTGTACTTGAGAATGATCTCACCAGTGACGAAACGTCATACCTGTTATAAAAAATACTATTTCTTATTGTAAAAAGCTGTAACTTGTAATAAAATATAAGTTTGCTTGTTTAAGAGTAAAATCACGCTGGGCTAACTGCTGTGTCCACCACGGGGAATTAAACTTCGGATTTTAGTGCTGTGATTCCGTAAACTTATCGCTGTCCCGTCGGGAGACTACATACGTAAGACTAGAATGTAATACTTTCCCAGATTAGAATGTAATATTTTTCCAAGGTGACTCGTGAGTGTTTCTCGTTCTCACTGATCATAGGAGAATTGTACACTCTAGACATCACCTAGCCTGCCAATAGAAAAGGTCGCTGTACGTACAACTTTTTATGAATCTTTCCCATGGGAAGACAAGGTGATACCTTGGGTGGATGACACTGAACAAACGATTAACTATAGTTTAATGACTTTCTTGGCCAATAAAAACTGTACCTACCTGAATAAATGCAAAGCTTTGAGAATTTCTAACACAAGAAGAAAGCAAACATATAGTGTGCTGACATACCACAAATACGTAGATAATATATACAGAGAAAATAAAAGGTATAAAAGCAGACGTGGATCGTAAAATAGAGAGGCACAACGTTAATATATGAAGAACAGGTCTTATAAACAAATAAATCATCATAGCTAGATAGTTACGTTTTGATTTATGTATCGAGACTAGATTTTTTAAGAACATGTAGTATTTGTGAGGATAGCAAGCTTTGAAAGATTCTCTTCCAGGAATGCGATTAGCAAATTGTTTACAATGAAGTACTACTATTTTTAAGAACAGTATATAATAGGAACACATCTAAGGTTTCAGCAGCCACACGATGCTTCCCAAAGCGTGAGTTTCTAATAAAAAGTCATAATAAGTTCGGGTTTGTGCTAGACGTAGAATGTACGGGCAGGACTCAAGTAAGGAAATTATACTTGTTAGCAGCTAGTTCTTAAAATGCGCAACATATAAAAATAAGGTCATATATTCACGTATTTTTACGTAACATAATCATGCTTTTTTTTGGGGGGGGGGGGGTAATAAGCGTAGGTCTCGCTTTCACTGTTAGCATATTTCAGCTTTGGAAAAAGTTTTCTTAAATTATAACACAAAGCTTCACTATCAATTAAGTTATGAATTGCTTGTGATTTCGTTTTTGTTTTGTTTTTAAGTTCATGATGAAAAATAACAGCAATGCGACTAGCTGAATTAATAACAACTAGTATATAGCTTTATAAATATTTGTATAGACTTTGAGAACTTTTATGTTAAACTTAATGATTACGGAATTCATAATTTCAGTAGTAAAAATTGCTAAAAAATTATGTAATATTGTATAGCTGTACGAACACCTTCATATTTTAATATATGATATTTCTACATACATATTCTTCAATAGCCTTGAACTATAAGCCATTCATCTGTCAGAAATCAAATATTATAGCAAGATTCAGCCCAAGTAGAATAAAGAAATTTATGGATCCGGGTTTCGATGTAAAAATAAAGATTAACATTTAAACAAATAAAATACTATCGATTGAAGTTTGATTACATGTCTGATAAAATAAATTATATACACAATAAACTAAGTATCTTTCTTATTCAAAAGTACACCTATTCTTCCCAATATAAATTCATTTTGTGTAAGCTTATTTATTCATTAAACAAAAACTGACAAATAATGCATATCTATATCGCTTGAAAGTTTTAGAGTGGATATACTTTAACGTCTGACTTTTTAATAATGAGTTTGCAACTACACCTTATGGTACTAGAACCAAGAAACGTTAAATCGAAAATAATACGTACATAGCATTTTTACAAATACATACATAGCATCTTCAAAAACATTACGTATGAAAATGTTTTCTTGTTCTATATTATTCAATTAAGTATTTTGGGAAAGACTGTCCAACCATACAATATTTTACGCAAAAAGAGCTTTGTCAGCTTTAATCCAAATAAGAAGATTGCCTATTACTCTTATAACGCACCCACAGCTGAAAAGTGCGGAGCTAATTCAGTGGTATCGCGGCGCAAACCTTTAAACTATGATACGCAGTCCGATACGCTAACCATTAAACCAAGCCCGATTCAAGTTTAGTTTTTATAAGGAACTGTTTTCACGTGATGCTCCGCTTTTTTTTTCCAACGAATGATAAAAGTTATACTGCTTAGTAAAAAAATTTAATACTCTACTTTTCAAATTTAATGATTTTATTCCCTTTACAACTACCTCCCAGTGGCACAGCGGTATGTCTGAGGACTTACACTTACCCGTGGTGGGCAGAGCACAGATAGCCCATTATGTAGCTTTGTATTTAATTCCAAACAAACCAACCCTATACAACTATTGGGCACACATAACACTTATGTTTAAACGATTTTAGTACAGATGGTGATTATAAATCAAGAAATCGTAACAGTATCAGCCAAGTGAATTGAAAAGCAAAATCAAGGAGCAAAGAAAAAATATAATAAAAATTATGAATTTTTTTTAGTTATTAAGTTTATTTAGATATTCACGAAAATAAAATTATGAAAGAGATTAACTTATGAATTTGAGGGAAGTAATTTGCAAGAAAAATAAACTAGACCATTTATAAACCCATAATTAATTAATAGTTTTTATTAGAGAATTAAATGTAATTTTGTACGAGAAAGAACTATTCCTTCATTTGAAGTTGCAAACTGTTGTTATTGTTTTGTAGTGTAATTTAGAGCTGGATTTGGTTTGAAAAATCTGGTTCACAACGTAATTATTTTAAGGCAAATATTTTAATTCTAAGGTCTACGTTCAAACAACGAGTCTTATTATTGACTAATTTCTGCAACTGTGCTAAATAATAATTGAGGTTATAACCAATCTCTTTTCTTTTGATGTTGTGAAACTTGTCGAGAGATAAAAACCAACCCGCTATCTAATCCAGTGAATTAACTCAAACAGTAATTTATTATTATTCTTGTACATTAAGCATATATTAACATATGAAATATGACATACAACTAGCGTTTAGGAAGTCCAGTTAACTTGAGAAAATAAAAAGCGCAAATTATCGCCATATTAATTTATTGTAAATTGTTGAAATTGCCAAAAAGTGAAAAAATATTAAAGTGATCTAGTGCCGTTTTAAATATATTTTAATCACTCTCTTATTCATGCCTGTTTATCATTTTTACTATAACCTAACATTTGTCTCTATCCATCTGTCTAAATCCCTAAATACTTACTTCTATAAGAAGTTATCTATCGATCTACATTTTTACATATACACCATCACTTAATAGTTATATATTTTGTCTCAAAATACTAGATTATATTCATCGCTATCTCGCAATTCGAAAGGCGCTTCAACTAGTTGAATGGCAAATTGGGTCAAATGTTGATATTCTTCAGGTTGTGCGATGGAAATGGTTGATAATGTTTAAATACTTCTACTGGAAGAAATATTACGTAATTTTCAACAGATTCAACACGATGATTATTATGATAATTATGGTACTTAAGATCAAGTTCAAAGCTAAAAATCAGTTAATTATAACCCTTCGTTCAGAAGAATCGCAATATTTTTATCAAATTAAAACTGAAAACAATTTTCAAGTTTCAACATTTAGAAGGTTACATGAAATCATATGATCTAATACTTACATTTAATTTGGAATTTTAAATAAGTTGAAATCTTCTAATATGGTTATCGCTGCTACCCAAGATCTCTGAAACCTCCCTATTCTAGAAGTTTCTAAGTCTATATACGCTAAGGAAAGGAGCCAATGTCAAGACCATGTTACACATCTCATTCCCGTTTACGAGACAGTCACGCGCATTGTTACATCTCTTACTCTAATCAATAGCAAACGATCGATAAGCATATGCGTAGGCTAGCCTATAGTGGCATGTATCTTTTGTTGGGCGAAATAAAATGGCTTGAACAATGGGTGAGAAAAATAACCTAAAAGTTTCAAGCATTGAACAATTACTTTTGGTGACTTTGACTTTTACAGCTATAGTTTTAATGTTTTGTTGTTTTTTCTTATATTTTCAATCACAATTAGCATAAACAAACTTTACCCAGTAGAGGGCCATGGGTTTGTGTGTGTGTGTTTTTTTTAAAAATATACTCTATCATATTTGTTTCAAAGCAATTTGTGGACTTTACATATATATTCATAGTTAGGATAATTATTTTTTGTTTTCAAACAGTAATAGTATACTAAAATTATTTATATCTAGCTTATACGGATTTTTGTTATATAAAATCTAATGTAAAATACCTTATGTGTGGAAAAAGGTGCGACTAGGAAAGGATTGAGCATGTGACTTAAAATAATGCAATCAAAATTAGCGGCCAAACTAGTAGCTACACTTATAGCATTGATAAGAATTTTACAGGAAATATTCATTCATTAGTTAGCCAGGCCGCGTATTTAGTTTTACCCAACTTCATGCCTCAAATTGAACAAAAAACGCGGCCTGGCTATCTAATGAATGAATATTTGCTGTAAAATTCTTATGAATGCTATAAGTGTAGTTACCAGTTTGGCCGCCAATTTTAATTGCATTATTTTAAGTCACATGCTCAATACTTTTTTTGTCCGCATTTTTTTTTCACACCTAAGAATAATAACCATCCACCCATAAGATTATTTCGATAACTTGAGCTAGAAACTGCTATTCTAGTTTGCAATACTTATGTATCTGTACATGTTTTTCTGCTATAAATCAGCCGTTATTAATCCGAACGACAAAAACTAAATATGGCCCACTTTTACTCTTATTAAAAGCTGTAATAAATATTTTAGACTGATCGCTCACGTGACTTTTTGCGTAAGCGTGCGCAAAAATTTTGGGCAAAATTAAGCGTTTTTGTTGAATAACTTTGTACATGTGGCTTATATTTAAACCAAATTTGACATATAATTGTAGGTTATAAAGGTCTATCAGTGTGTAAAATTTAAGTTAAGTATGTTTTTCTATCAAATAAAGTTTCCATACCTTCTGTGCGAAGAAATAAAGAAGAAAACAGAGGAAGAAATTCAATCAAAATTGGAAATTTTATATATCGTACATTTCTTAATGGATTAAGATTTGACATGTAAAATAAGGGTCCAGTAGAGCATATTTACGGAAAATATGGGATAGTTTGGATTACCACAATCCGAGCAACAGAAAGTGGAAATCGCTAAACTATCACTACTGTTAATGACACACAGCGTGTTCTACGGGTTGTTTTAGCCGAACGACACAGTACCGTGTGTCTTGATAACTTTCGTTTCCCTGTTATTGCTTTCTTTGAGTAAAAAGTTAATACCTTGATGTAATACTTATATTTCAACGTATAATGTATTCAACTATATGTTTTATAAACTCTATAAATAAAACAAAAACACTTGAGAGATGGCGATAAAATCGGTACAACTCATAATCCGTTAAATAAGTGAACCATTTTTGGGATGATAGGTTACAGCGCCATCTTTTTAATATTTGTAAATTCAGAAACGAAAGTACCAGAATATATTTAGCTTGATAAATAATCGATTCTTAAAGTACTTAACGTGTTGTATTTCTGGTGCACATTATTTCTATCCTAAACATTAATTGCAGGAAAATATGTGTTATGTATACTCACACGTGAGTAGTGTGTGTTTACGTGGTTATAAAGGTAAGGACGAAACTGCTTGCACAGATATTTCTTATATATATATATGTGTGTGTGTGTGTGTACATATATATTTATTTATTATAAAACTACATACAATTACTCTTTAAAATGTCAATAGGTAGAATTATATCCCTTTTTTGTTATTACTTTACAAATGTGCAACATAAAATGGTGTGTGTATATATAACATATAACCTGTATTTCAACTGATAGCCAGAGAAAATACAGTTGAGATTTATTACGGGAAAACACAAAGTATAATTGCTGGCAAAATATATATGTAAAGAGTATTGAACGAGGCACAACATAGAATATGCTTTATTGTAGAACACAATCTTCCCTAAACATTTTTACTTCCAGCATTAAGAATCATTAGTTTTTTGGTGGTTGTTTCAGACGTTTGCACAAAGCTGTAAAAGGGTCATCTTCGCTTTAAAATGATAGACTAGACTAATTCACAGTCCGGCACGCAAATCACTAGGCCACGCCCGGTCGCATTAAGAATAACATTTAAGTAAATCCTAACATAATTTTAGATGGAACGTATATGTATTATTTAAGCAATCTATTCTGCTTCAGATGTATTACACTTTATGTATTTTCTAAAAATATACTGCTAAAACCATTAACCTGAGTATACAAAATAATTCCCGTCCCCGACCTTGCTTGCATTTTCAGCTGTGGGGACGTTATTATATGACGGTCAATCCAATCATTCGTTTATACAGAGCAGCCTAAGGTTGGCGGTGGGTGGTGTTGACTAGTTGCTCTCCTTCTAGTCTATTTTGAAAATTAGGAACGGCTAGTGCGGATAACCTTCAAGTAACTTTGTGCGCAATTCAATATACCAACCAACAATACTATGTAATTAAAAGAAATATAGAGAAAGTAAATGCAATGAGTTACAGTCAAAGTATCTACTTAAGTACAACCAGTAATTTATATTTTAACACAGGGATTATACTCGCTGCAGCTTTAAAAATTAAACATCATTTAATTGCTGTTAAAGATCTGTCAAAAATACAAGACCCTAAGAACTGTCACTTACGTAACCTTATAGAAAGCCATATAATAGACAGGTAGTAGTAGGCATCTTTCTGTCTTATAAGACAGTAGATATTTGTGCCTATAAAAAAGTTTCACACATGTTGACACTTCCGGGTGTGACAAAATAATCCAATTCGAAAAGAGCATATTTCTCTGACACCTATTACATATATAACTTAAAACAGGGCACGACTTTTAAGAACCTTTCAATAATAGCTTGAAGATATTTCTTGACACCCATGCGATTTCCAAACTGCAAGTTTTTGTAAGTTGCGTTTTTTGATTGATTATAAAATGCACAAAAGGACTTCGTAGTAGTTCACCAAAAGGAGAAAATACAGTACAGAACACAACAGAATAAATAAACAATCCTTACAGCCGCTAAGTAGACCACGACATTGGATTCCTACGGTCAAATGTAAAAATGTATTAGCATTTGCAGATAGCCAAAAAGAACACTTACCAATGTATAAACTATAACAAGGTCAGTAACAGTTAATTTTAAAAGTGGGAATAGGGATCGTCAAAAAAAGAATAGAAACATGTTGAATGAAAATGCAAACATCACCATTTTAAGCTTACAACTAGGGACTCCGAAAATAAACAAACGAGACTAGAAATAGTGTCTACATTATTTTAACATACTACAAATTCCTATTTTGGCTCCATGTCTACAGAACTTATCAATTTTAGTTGTAGGCTTGAAATATAATCTTTGTATTTTGATCCAACTTTGTTTCTGTACTTTTTGACCATCTCTATTCCCCCTTCTTAAATTAATGCCCCCCCAGTAGCACAGCGGTATGTCTGCGGACTTACAACGCTAGAATCCGGGTTTCGATACCCGTGGTGGGCAGAGCACAGATAGCCCATTGTGTAGCTTTGTGCGTAACTTCAAACAAACAATTCTTAAATTAACAAATTTTACTAATCGTCTTTCTTAAGCTTTATGTTCATTTATGGAGAATAAATTTTAAGCTACATCCGTGCATATGCATTCAATTGAATGTTACGTGTTTTTCAACAGTTTACTGCTGCATTGGCTTGTTTTTCACCTAACCACCACATTGAACTTATTCAAAATAAATAACAACGAATAAACACATGTACTAGTAGTTAAGTACAACAAACAAAATGTAAAGTAGTTCTCAAAGAATTATCTTGAAGGCAAAGATTGTATCATCATAGCTTTAATGACTGGCTTCAATCAATGTCACAGTGTAATGTAACAAAAGACGAGCAACAACAAAGCAATCTCATCAGAACGGAATAATGTTTCTTTTAAGATAATACAATGCAGAGTAATGAATGCAATATAAACAGACGCAGTAACATGCTTACCTTGTTAGGTTTACACGACATATATTTATGTTCTTCAACAGCCTGCTGTGCTAAGTGTTTGCTGGAATAAGGCAACACAAATAATTCATGCAAAATAAACAACAGCAACATACTTAACGTAAGTCGTCAATTATCGACAACATTTACAACCGCTATCTTAACTATTTAAAAATAGCAATAGATATATAAAATAGTGCTATATGTAGTGGTAATAAATACCGAATACACACTCACGATTTCAGCTAAGAATAAGAAACGGTAGAAATAATCACTACTATGTTATCTGAGTAGGAAAAACTATTATGGTAATCGTCCACTGTTAAAAACTTGCTGAAATATAGTCGCAGAAATCCACTTAAATACAGCAAACTCGAGTTAACGACGAACAATAGTGACTTGAGTAACAAAAAACACCGGCAACATCTGGAACCTTTCACGTGGCAGTTTCCAATTAATGCGCTAGTAAAATGCACGAGTTGTAATTTCCAACTAACGTGCACGCTAGGAAAACACCAGACTTTTTGATAGCAGAAAGTGAAGGTATTAGTAAATTTTGAATCACCACAAAATTAAGGAAATCAAATTAAGTTTAAACTACTCTCTCAATTTTTGGCAAAATTTCTGTGCGATCTATCCCACATTACAGTAGATATCACTTACAATAATTTTATAGTAGAGTCATAGTAGGGGTTTATAGCTTGAGCAAAGTATCAGCAGTAAATTTCCAGCCTTGTTAGCTTAGTTTTCTAATCCATCT